CTTCGCAGAGTGTGGAGCGGACCAGCGTCACGAATGGCACAGATCAGCGCTCTCTAGGACCTTTTATATCCAGCCCCCTGCATCACATAAGTAGCCTCTGGACGTACCATTGAGACTGGACAACCTCAGCAAAAGGCACACACCTGACTTGCGAGCTCCACCAGGCTGCTATGGCGAAACTCCATGACAGCTAAGGGGTACCTCCAGGTGTTTAAGGAGTGGTTCGTTTGGAACAGTTCCTATCGGGCCGCGGCTGCCTGCGTCACACTATCGACTGGTACAACTGTCAAGTGCCGATTTTCCTTTCACGCCAGTTCCACTGCAGCTGAATTGGCCCACCATCACTTGGCAGGCATTTACCTCCCTGCCGCGTTGCCCCAGCTGCCTGTGGTGATTCTGCGCGACTTCCGACTACCACTACAAGCGCTGCTCCAAACTGATAGAGCAGGCATGTCTGTGTCATTGCCGGACGCTATGCTAACCGACATTAAAAATATCTCTGTGCGCGTGTCCCTAACTGGCTTCTCTTGCACGTTGAAATAACTGGCAACGAGCAGGCTGACGCCACCGCTAAAGCAGCACACCCCTGCGACACGCTAGTCACCAAGAGAGTAGCACAGTCGAATAACTTCCGGCAGCTACTGCGGGTGGCAAGCGACAAACCTCCACCATCGCTTCCAGATACCAGTCTGAAAAGATGCGAGCGGTGGTTCTGGGTTGGCCTGCGTACCACCACCACCTGGTCTGCAGCACGCGTGTTTGCTGGTCGCTCTTCTTCACCTGCTTGCCGAAAGTGCGGCGATGACATGACGTTTTAGCATGTTCGCTTCTGCCCTGACGTGGGAACAAAGCGTTGCGCACTGGTGAGCCACTAGCGTCTGCTCAGTCTGCCTGCGATATAGATAGAAGACGCACTTTTTTTCACACGCTCGAAGACGCAAGCCCTCCGAGCCTTCTTCGAGTTCTGTGCGTCTGTGAACCTCTCCGCCTTATAGACGAACGCTTTTGCTTTGTTCTACAAAGTCTACTAAGGACGTTTTTTTGTCGTCTCTTTCACTTTTAAAGACGATAGAGTTTCTTGGGAGTCTTTGACGCAAAAAGTTGGGTCTGTCTGTTTGTCTAGCGGTCTGTCTGTCTGTCTGTCTCTAAATTTTTTTTTGTTTTTTCGCCCTTGACGGTACCTTAAACGGCACCAAAGTGGTCAAACGATACTCGAAACGGCCGACCTCATCCGTGGCACCCACCAATATTGCTCAAGATACAGCATTCATACTGGTGCGATTGTCAAGAAAAAAGCAATTATTGCGCATATCTGAGGCACCATGACAACACGTCGATATTCTCTATATGTGTCTCTTACTAGAAAAGGCATACATAAGTAATTATGAGGACCGTAGCGTTTACCACGTTGCCCTGACCCGGCAACGCTTTGCTAAGACGACACGGTGGTGGAACCTACCCATCGCCTTGCGTTTTACAACTTATTACCTCTCAGACGAGCGCGCAGGGCGTGCGCGCTTCGTTTTCCAAGATAACTGCCATATAGCGCTCACGTCTTACGTGTGACGTGACTTAATGCGCTCGTTCGGCTCCTCTGCTCGCTCGAGGCACTCTAACGCAGCACCTCCAGTAACCCATTCACCGATTTTATTGTGGAAAACATCAAGTCAATTTTTCCTACTCTCTCCAGACGCCAGACGATAGTATCGTCTTTCGACGACATTCGCAATGTAACATGCAGATACGGGGCCACCTTTTTTTTCTCCTGAGTCTTGTTCCTGTCGTTTTTACTTCCCGCTCCCCCTATCTCTAAACACATTGAGCCACACCCCAACTTTGGGAGGCCGAAAATAGCGTCCTTTTCATCTATTCCTCTTTTATTTACCTCGCTATTTCTCTCTTACAGACTGCAATCGGACCCGTGAGTGGAGGGAGCAAGCCGCGCATGCATAAGAGACGCCGTTGCTGGTGATTGCATTAGCCTGGCTCGCTCGCTGGTTTTGACGCTAGTTGCAATAGGCACCCGGCGTAGCAGTTTACGAGATCTGATGGTAACGCAAGAAAACACTGTCTAGCGAGTAGGCGCAGCAATACCGAATCTTCCAATGCGTAGCCTAGTGAGTAGGCGCAGCAAAACCAGACTTGTTCGTGCATATTATTTTCTTTTTTTTTTCATTTGCGAGCAGGGGATCATGGCTGATTATGTGAGCGCCCAGGAAGCGTTCTTTAAACACGTGCAAACAAGGGCACTGACACTTTGGTGCGTCAACGTGTTCAGCGAGAGTGTCATTTTCTTGGTATCCCTGGTGGTCGGTACCAACAATGCTGAGGGGGCTCAAAAAGCCTCATCGCGCCCTCTGGTCCACGGTCGGGTGCCTATTGTAGAAGCAATAAAGTTCAGTTTGGACTCTAAGGCATGAAAACAGACAGTGTAGTTTAACCATACATCTGGCATTTCAAGTTCAGATGGGCAGTTCGAGTTTTATCAGAGCGAAAAAGATATATATATATATATATATATATATATATATATATATATATATATATATATATATATATATATATATATATATATATATATATATATATATATATATATATTTATACATGTATGTATATATATGTGTGCGTGTGTGTGTGTGTGTGTGTGTGTGTGAGTGTGGGAAAAAGTGTACACCTAAGAGCTCATATTTTTCGTGTTTTTCCATGCCATTATTGTCTGTTAGATGTCATATATATATGAAGTAGATGCGCTCTCCTATAACTGGTATTTCAGCCGACGTTTTCACGGGAGCACCGTGGTTTTCAAGACAGCATAATATTTACACACTTTCCGTGTCATCTGAAAGCTTGTCAAGACAGGAAGGAAGGGGTCAGAAAAAAAGTATGAACAACAACAACGAAAAATCATAGAAGAAATCCGGAGGATAAACGTTAAAAAATAATTAAAAAATCTAGGAGAAGAAGAAAGAGAGACACGGCGGAATCAGGAAGGGACAGCATCTCAACAGAGTAAGGCGAATGTAAATTAGCAATGCCATCATTGTCAACAATACCTCCCACGCACTCACCCTTCCCCCAAGTGGACAGTGTGACCACTGTTTTTGTACTTCACCTTTTGGTGCAATCTGCTGCCAGCTTGTCCCCCTTTAAAGTTTGCGACAAATTGGTGGGGAGAACTTGAGGGCTTCAAGAGCATGTTAAAGGCGTGCATGCTGGTGACCTCTGACGCCACCAACACGCACTCGAAGCGCCTAAGTTCTCTCTACCAGTTTGTCAAAAAATACGATGAAAAGACCATGGCAAGCTCAACTACAACCACGAGTCAATAAAGGTAGTTGATGTGAACAGGTTTGGGTCATACAAGAAAGCGCTACAAGTTACCGCGTGGGTGTTGCATTATATAGGAAACCAACGAAAAGAAAGAAAAACAGGTTCGCTCATGAAAGAATAATTGGACAAGTCAGTGTTTGTGCTGATGAAGCAGGAGCAGAAAAATGTAGCGACACAAATATATGACAACAGGAATCTGTACGGCACGAACATCTTCGAAGACGATCAAGGTGTCCTAAGGGTAAAAGGGAGATTTCAGTGGAGTGATTAGAGCTTTGATGACAAACATCGTATTGTTTTACTAAGAGAAAGTCTCTTTTCAGATCTCCTAGTTCTGAACGCGCAGGAAGTGACACTGCACAGTGCCATTGCAGCGACATCGGCACACCTAAGAACAAGGTTTTTTATTGTGCGTGACCGACAGACGGTGGAATATATTATAAAAACGCGTCACATGTAGGAGGTTCAATTCTAGACCAATGACACAAGAAATTTCACTACTTCCGGCTGACAGGATAACACAGACGAGGCCATTCGGCACAAAATAAACTTTGCTGGACCGCTAAATCCTCGAGAAGAAAACGGCAACGAAATCACAAAGTTCTCCATTGTGATATTTACGTGTGAAGTAACAAGAGCCGTACAACTGTAGTTGGTCAAGAGGATTTCATCGAAGGCGTTTATACAAGCATAATGAAGATTCGTAGCTAGAAAAGGACTGTGTACAACAACGTACAGTGACAATGGAAGAGCGTTCAAGAAATATGAGAAAGAGATGACCAAGGCATCATAGATGAAAGATGAAAAGGTGCAACAGTATACCAGCAATCTGAAAATGAAATGGATGTTTATTTTAGAGTTAGCTTAATGGTGGGGAGGATTTTATGAATGGCTGATCAGTAGCTTTCGAACGTTAATGGCAAAACGTATAGGTGCTCAACTTTTGGACGAAGAAGAACTACAGACTGTGGTTACTGAAGCAGGAGGAGCAATCAACAACCGGCTTCTTACTTATACGTATGACGATCCTAACGAGACACAACCCATCATACCAGTGGATGTTATAACGGGCAGGCAAGCAATGAACAAGCAGGAAGACAACAGACTCAGAGAATAAAGTTTGTTGATTTACTAGAGTGCAACAAAATAGCCAATGATAACATGGCGAACGAGATGAAAAAAGGAGTACCTGAGGGAGCTTAAGTGTGCCAGCAATAAAATAGAGGATTACACAAGTATACAAGAAGGAGATGTACTTCTGCTTGGAGAAGCGCGAAAAAGAACACAATAGGTACTCTGCAAGGTCGAAAAGATTTTCCCAAGCAAGGATGGACTAGTTAGAGCATGCTTGCTTCGTACACCTGAAGGAAAACTAGTCAAGAGGGCGATTTAACTGTTGTATTCGCTCGAAGGTTGCTTTGATTGAATCTAGTCGGCGGAAGATGTAGAAAACAGATTGAAGATGGAGCTCGTAGGTTAAGAAGAAGTGGCCAGGGGCACGCTCTGTATATTTTTGTAATCTCGGTCTGTCAACAATAAACCCAAGACGTATTGGTTCTGCTATCTCTCTGGTCCTTCTGAAACAACATTTATTCAAACAACTCTTGAAAACAGCAAAACCACCCTCCTACCATGCTTTTACATTCGTAAATAGATAAAGTACTTACGCAACACTTTTTTTTATTAAAATCTACTTTCACTCCTGATGGCGGGCCTGTGCAAATGGATCTGCAGCCTACATGTATCTGTAAAAATAACAAGACGTAATTATGTGCCAAACCATATAGGGAGATCAAGCATAAAAAATGTAAGATTTCACAGATCGTGTGGCACTCAAAATGCGCAAAAAGAGAGATAAGAATTACACTGAAGAACGGCTTTTATACACTGTTCCCAGCGTTTGATTGCATCTGTATTCACACATGTAACGTACACTCATAGCAAATACTGTTTATACGTTATGCAGCCCCTTATCAATAAGGATGGAGTTTAGTTTGATACTCTTCATGGCATCGTAAAAAGACCTCGCACTCGCAGTGTTTTCACGTTTAGTATTTCTGCTTTTCTCGCTCAAACTCCATATATTTCCTCTTTATTAGAGACCACAAACACCTGAATTTTAAGTCGGCTGCCAGATTATTAGTAAACACACATCAAAGCTCTTTTAAAAAATCCAACGTTTCACAACGTGCCCCACAGTCAAACCACAACATATATGCGAAACAGTTCATGCGTCTGTCTGTCTGTCGGTCGGTCTGTCTGTCAGTCAGTCTTTCTGTCTGTTTATCTATCTATCTATCTATCTATCTATCTGTCTATCTATCTATCTATCTATTTCTCTATCTATCTATCAGCCCTTTATCTTGGAGTAAACCAAAATTGGTTTGGGAGGGTAACAGGGTTTGATATGTATGATTCCGTGGTAATTTCTTGAATAACGACACAATTCAATGCAGTTCGTCATCCAATTGTTTCTGACAAACATCTATTCCATAATGAACCTTAGTAATGTGGCACATATATGCTGATATATCCCAAAGGTGACTAAATTTTTATGTCAGGTGCGGGTAACTTTGACACCTGAGCAATAAAAAATGATATAAGCAGCGCTGACCCAATGAATGCAAATAGTATAAGTGAGGGTCCCAGCAGGAGTGAAACATAAACATTTTGTATGGAAATCAAGTATTCTACCACACAGCCACCACAGGCTTCCGCACTACTTCTCAAATAAGCCGTATAGTTTAACAAACGTTAATTGTACTTGCAATACTGGCTATTTATTTTACAATCATTACGTATGTACTCATGATACAGCCGTCTCGTCAGGTTAAGATCAATGGTAGCTAGGCGAGATTTGGTGAAGTAGACTCTTGTGGCAGTGTCAAGGTCTGTCTTTTGTGAGCACCAGCGCTTCATATCAGCCTACTACCTCTGCTGTTGCCAAAACCTAAGTTTCTGTTGGCATTGTTACTAAACTGCCAAGGATTGATTATATAAACCTTATGCTACTGCAGCTTATCTTATATATATGCTTAAATTTCCAAACACATTTAGAGCTTTTTGAAACCTTTCGGTTAAAAAAAACCTGACAACGCAGTCACGCACCATCTGCATGTTTTTCATAACATATATTTTCAAAGTACGTGAAATTTGCAGATTTTTTATCGACGATACTTATCCGTATGTATTATGCGTTCTATTTGGCATACACAATAATTTGGGTGGCTTGAACGCAATTCAAGCGGTAGGGTGTGAATTCTGCGAACTCTGTGAGTTCTGGCAATTCCCGGATTACAATGTGCAACAGCTAGGTTGCCTTCAGTGAACCGGCGCTTTTCACTTTCTTGAAACACCTGTTTCTTGCGCTGTGAAGAGCCGAAGCCAACCAGAAAAAATACGGGAAAGACGTTCCCCTCGCCGGCTCACCGAAGTATTGGTAATCTTTATATTAAAATTCTCAAAGTCAAATTGATACACACCACATATAGCAGTGATATCGTCTGGTAGGAGGAACTCTTGCATCTCTATGAATTCCACTAAAAGTGTTCTCTTATGCCAAGCCTCTTCCGCTATCCCCATATGACCGCAAAGTCACCTGTTGTATCGCACTGTATATGTGTCGTGTGGTGAGATGACAGATTCTCTGCGTGGTGCGCCAACACCTAATGGAAGCGAGAAACTGCGTCGGAATCAAAGTGGGAAAACTCTTACGTTTTACGAAATATAAAGTAGAGATAACTTTGACGCTAGTGTCTACGGGTGCTGCAAAGCACGGTGCTTCAGCGAGCACGGAAATGATAGGTAGTACACTGATTTGTCTATATATTATTCGTACCTCTGGTTCTGTGTGTGTTCGTGCGGCTTGCAACTGCTTCTTCGCAAAACAAAAAACACCAAATGTTCAGCGGTTGCACTTCACCATCTCATTCTTTTAGGCTTACTATTTTAAATGGAGCACGACGTTCAAAAAGCTTCGTTGTTTTCATTAGAACAAAACCAGAACACTGCAACAAACAAAGCTGAAAGTGCGATTCGCCGCCCACAAGTACGAAGACTAGGCAAATCCATGTACTCCCCATCATTCCCATGGTCGCTGAACAATCTCAGCCCCCGAACCCCTGTAGTCAATTTTAGCAAACGCTATGGAAAAACCAAAGCCTTATTCAGGCGCCGTCATCCTCTGTAATACAGCCACACGCATATCTGCTCCCATTTTTTTATGTTCACAGACCTGTTGCAAGGTTTGCCAATACCTAGTATATATCTAGTGCACGTCACGCCGTCATCTTCAACGTTCCCGATTGTGTGATTTTTTTAAGCTTGAGCACTCATTGTGACGAGTGGAGTAATATTCCTCAAGGAACTAAGCCACCAGCCATAATCCTGGTACATTCATTGCTACAGGAACAAAAGGCGAAACACCTTCGCGTTGCCTATTTCTCTGCTTTCGTCGACTGTTCTTGCTGTGATCAGTAACGGCGTTCGTTGCCTGTTGGTCGAGTTTTTATTTCAGCGCGCGAGTTTGGCGAGATAAAGACAATTGTTGTTGGCGTGGAAGCAGCGCAACTGTGGCAATGGCTTAACAGCTTCGCTTTCACGTTATACAGGTGGTCTTAGTCTGGCTATCGCTTATGGTTCACTCTGGAAGGCCAGCTGACACGTCCCCTGCCAAACAGCTGCAGTTTCCAGAAGACTGCGGCTTTTCTACGGATCCGAGTGCCTGCGCCGACACACCTGAGCCTCCCAGGCCATTCGCGACATCACCATCGTCAGGAACATTGTTCTTATCAAGCAACAAAAGTGGCAACAGCGAACGTCAGTGGTTTAGTGGGCGTGCAGGTAGGACAATTGTGGCAATGGCTTACGAGCTTCGTTTTCACGTTATACAGGTCATCTTGGTCTGGCTGCCGCTTATGGTTCACTCCGGAAGGCTGGCTGACACCCCTGCTAAACAGCTGCAGTTTCCAGAAGACTGCGGCTTTTCTACGGATTCGAGTGCCTGTGCCGACACACCTGAGCATCCCAGGTCATTCGGGACATCGTCATCGTCAGAGACATCGTTCTTATCAAGCAACAAAAGCGGCAACAGCGGACGTCAGTGGTTTAGTAGGCGTGGGGGCAGAACAACTGTGGCAATGGCTTACGAACTTCGCTTTCACGTTATACAGGTTGGTGAAACCTATTCTTTATATGCTAAGAAGACACGTAACCGTTGTTTACTGCTACTTCCACGCCTGAAGGTGTTGTACGTTTTGTCGCGAGAGTGTACTGACGCCCTTTGCTCGCTACTCTTGTGTTGCGGTGATGTTGAAGCGAACCAAGGGCCTCCAAAAAAGACCCCTTGGCCACTAGATGATTTCAAGAACAACACAGCTTCTTCTAATGCGCGTCATAAAGAAGTCATGGCAATGCTTTCTGAGATAAGTGCCCGCTGTGAGTCATCTGTCGTTACGCAGTCCAATTTGGCAAAGACGATCGACGAGGTGAAAGCCAACCAGCAGTTTGTGGCGAGCAAATTAAGCGAGATTGAAAGGCGACTTTCGACGGTTGAACGGCAGACGAACTCGGTTGCTGACATTGAGAAGGAATTGCAGGGGACGAATGAAGCTATCGGCAGCATCACTCAAACAAATGACGCGTCGGTGTCCCGTCTAAATGACCTCGAGGACAGAGCCCGAAGGTGCAACTTAGTGTTTTTTGGTGGGCCTGATAAAAATGAGACATGGCAAGCTACTGAAGAGGCACTTACCAACTTGCTCTCTAGGAGCCTAGGCGCCTAGTTTGACCCGAATGCAGTAGAGAAGGCCCATCGTTTAGGTAGCTCAAACATACGCGAGAAACCTCGACAAGTGATAGTAAAATTTGCAAGCCCTAAAACAAAAGAACTTGTGCTGGAACGTCGATCTAAGTTAAGAAGTCATAACGTCTCTATATCAGAGGACTACTGTCAGGCTACAAGAAGAGCGCGCAAGATGCTGCACAATTTTTCAAAATCATTGCCTGGCCGACCCGCTTTCCAGCTTCGTTACGACAAGCTCATTGTTAACCAGACAAACTATTCTTATGATGCTTCCGCGGGCATTGTTCGCAAGGCAACTGTACATTCTCGTAGTAATGGTAGCGGATTCCGCATCGAAAATGGAGCGCACTCGATTTCCGATCACAGCCATGACCTTCACGCACGTTCATTACCTGATACCGCACTTTTATCACGTGCGCGGACATCGAATGCCTCCTCATAACAATCAGCAAGGGGAAGTGTTAGTATCCTATCATGTCCTATTTCAGTGCTCTACACGAACATCTGTATATATAGGGAAAGCGTGACGCTTTTGACACTATTATCGATTCTTGTGAAGCTGACGTGATTGCCGTGACCAAGACTTGTTTGAATGTTCATATTTGCGATTACAAAAATTTTACTATTTCCAAATCGTTGAACATTTCCGCCGCGATAGAGATGGAAGACAAGGTGGTCGTACTTAGCTTGCCATTTCAAAGCGTTTTAGGTCTTTTCTTATGACCGTGACGTCTACATTGGAAGTGGTATGGTGCGAAGTGGTTGTGAATAATAAGACGTTTGTTCTTGGCGTCTGTTACCGCCCTCCAGAAACAGACATCGGCTTTGTTCAGAAATTTGACAATAACATTATTGAAATTACAATGCAGTACTCATCTTCTTCGAAACGTATTCTCGGGGACTTCAACTATCCTACCATAAGGTGGGCGTCATCGTTACCAG